GAGATGGACAGCAGAACAGCTGAAAGGAGTGACACCTGAGCAACACACCAAGTCCAACACATGACCTTTAGAGTGTGTAGGGAAATCATTAGTGTTGTCATGTGAATATTGAAATCACCCAGCAGAATTATATTGGATGAGAGTGAACAGATGTGGGTGAGAAATGTAGTGAAATCATCAATGAAATCCTTATTGGGTTTAGGAGGACAGTAAATATTGACTAAAACAGTTGGAGTAGGTCCATTCAGTTGTAGAGCCATAGATTCGAATGACTGAAACACAGGCACAGTGACAGATGAGACCCTCCAAGTCTCGCGGTGAATTATTGCAAGACCTCCTCCTTTGCCGGTGAGACGGGGCCGGCTGATGTAAACAAACCCAGGTGGAGTAGACTTGTTCAGCTGAGAAAAGTCATTGGGTTGTTGCCATGTCTCCGTCAGACAAAGAAAGTCATACTTGCGGTCAATGAGGGGATCCTGCAGTAGTTGTCCCTTGTCAGAGAGGGAGCGGATGTTGAATAATCCAAGTTTGACGTCGAAGTGTTGGTTGGAGAAGCTAGCATTAGCCAACCTGGCTAGGCTAGCTAACGCGCTGTGGTCCACCATCCTGCGGGTGTTTCTCGGAGGGTGGCAGCGTGATGAGGACCAGATGGAGTTTATGGCAATGGAGTCATCGAAGTGATAGCTTGTCCGGCTCCGCGGTGGATGTACCTCCGACGGAGAAAGCGAGCGATGTCCGGGAAGTGGCGCAGTACTGGCGGGGGAGTGGACTGGTGGAACCGAAGTTGAAGGAGCTACGCACTCATGTATTGGATCAGGGTTGACGCTGGATTTATTAAGAAGGACAGGACAGTCCAGGAGAGCACAAAGCTCACACCGAGTTTGTAGATTCACATGATGAATGAGCAGATGTTATCCACCGAACAGCGGTAGCAGTGGCCAGGTGACTAGAACGGCAACGTGCTACAGGTAATGTTTGAACAGTCTAAAACACAATACTGACAAACCGATCGTTTTGACAGTAAGACCAGGGTAGAGACAAACAGTACCACGTTTGCCGAGAGTAGATAATCTGCTGCAAACTGTGCAGATGATCATAAAAACATTAAAAACAACAGGAGAGCAGTGGCAGCTAAACGCGCCAGCATTCACTCAACCAGAAAGAGGAGTCAATTCAGTTTGTCCGTGAGGGGGAGAAATACAGAAGTAATAAGTTAGTAAGGAGGCAAGGGTGTGGCTGCCTAGAAGGTGCTTGTGATTGGGAAATGCAAGTAGATTTAGGAGGAAAGCTTGTTGTTCCCCAGTAAATAGTTTTTACCAATCAGAGGCCTGACATAGTGTTGTGGTCAGTGAGCGAACGGATAGTTTATTCATCATTCATTCATTGAGTTGACAGTTCCTTGGGAAGCCACAGTGGAAGAAGCCCATGAAAGAAAAAAGCTTAGGTATGCAGACTTAGAAGCAGAAACTGAGCAGCGAGGGTGGAAAACTAGGATTTGTCCAGTGGAAGTGGGGTGTAGGGGATTCATAGCAAGATCAGCTGTCTCGCTCCTGGGGGAACTCGGACTGCGGGGATAGAGTTTGAAGAAGACAGTGAAGGAAATGTCAAATGAAGCAGCTAGATGTAGTCAGTGGATTTGGATGTAGAGGAATAATGTCAGTTGGGGGCCAGCAGGGGGAACTACTGGACAGGGTACATAACTCCTTGAGATCAGGTAGAGAGATCCACCAATCAGTCCTCTCAGGAAAATCCAGGAAGAGGAAGGTTATTTAAGTGTGGGAGTGGCCTATCTGAATCCCTTCTGTTTGAGACCATGCTGCAAGGTGAGTGTGTTTGCTGATTCTGTGAGTTAATCTTTTCTATCTCCTTTAAATTTATCTTATATTGGAGTTATGATATGTAGCGTGTGAAATAGGGTATGGTGAATGTGCTAGGAAAGGTAGTATTGGCACAGTCACTACCTGGAGCTCGCATCAATGGAGCCTGGGTTTGTTGAAGGTGGCAGTGCTGTTTGGGCTGAGAAAACCATGTGTAATGTAAGGTAAAGGAGGTTGTTGGGTTGGTGCGGGGAGCAGTAAGAACTGGCATTAGGGGAGTGTCTCTGGGATGCCAGAGATCACTGTCTAGCCTCCTGGAGGTGTCATGGGACCAACTAGAAGAAACACTGGTGAAAGGAGGTTCCCACCTGATGACCCCAAAGACGTGTTAGTTATCACTGCTCACTGGTCTGTATAGTTAAGCCCTGACATAATAGCTTATCATAGGGCTTAGGAGGTTATTCACTGAGCGCTGATCCTTTATCTAAAGCACAAATTTCTTGTGTTTATTTGAACTGATTTGGCTGAGAGGACAGCAGATGGCAGCTCCAGAGACCCCAGCACCATCAATGGAAAATTGCTGATCCAGTAGGAGGGAAATCCTATTGGATCAGAACCCAGTGCTGGTGTTTGCTTTGCAGGATTGATGTTGCTATCACGGCTGTTCTAAATCAACATGTCCTCTCAATATTGCCCAACCTTGTTTTTTTTTTACTTCACTTTACCCCACTCTTAAAACCCCAGCAAAACAAGTATGTTGGCATGGCTATGCATCAGTGAGGACTTAAAATGATGTCAGATTCAGGCGGATACATTTGTCTCTACTGCTAGGTTAGGGAAAATTGAATCCCACTTCCCCTTGGAAATCAGTTGGACGCAAGTGGATGCAAGGTCAGACTGAAGATGGAAACAGGGTGTAATGAGTTGACAGTCCTGTTTAATATCAGGCAATGTGTTTGCCTGTGTGGCGTTACTTAGTGAGGCTGTGGATTTTGCCATATTGCTCATTTGGTCAGCTGGCTTACAAAGTATTTAGTGTTATTGCCTTGGCAATGTGCGTCCATGAATTTGGGGGCAGAGCTTCTGAAGGAGGACCTGTGTTTGTTTGGGTTTGGAGTTTTATGATCGAAAGTCTTTCTCCTGAATCAGACTCCTTCTGATTCAGGTTCTGCTATTGGTTTTACTGCAAACTCAACTCCTCATTCTTTCTGTACTGTCTTTATAAATTTAGCATCATGTGCATTTCCACATCTTTCCACAACAGTAATACCAAACTTACCACGCTGTTCACTTACAGAAATATTGCTTTTATTCACTAATTATTTTCAGTTGATTCTTCTTTGCCACTCTTTGGATCAGAGTAGAGTTGCTGTTATTTTAACGGGTCCATGTCATTGGTCCGACATCCCATTAGTCCATCCCATTGTGCTTAAACCTAACCAGACCTTAACCACAGGGCATCATGATGATTTCGGAACAATGAGACTTCAGAACAATGGGTTTAATATGGTCGGAACAATGGGCTGTCGGACCAATGGGCAGACCCCATTGTAACTTCACTCTTTCTGCACAGTTGTTTCACAAATCATTCCATCAGCTTAAAGAAAATGTCCTCCCCTTCCTTAGTATGTCTTTAATGTGAAGTATTGAGTTTCATTGATGATATAGAATAACAGCAAAGGAACAGCAAAGTAGAAATGATTGCAATTCCTTAGTAAGAGAAAACAGTTTTATGTGGTGACCATGACATGACTCTGCTGTTGTTGTTTTACTGATGGTATTAGTTCCGTGGGAATGTAAGCCAGAATAGGTAATTTTGCCAATGCTCAATAACTTTTTGCACAACATCACATATTAGTGTGCTGTCTAGATGGAGGGCAGGCAACTGGAGGCTAAGAAACGTAAGCAGATGTTTAGCCTGCTGTCCCAGCACACAACAGCAAACAGGATAGCACTGGCTATGATTCTGTGGTTGCCAGTGCTACTCTGTTTGTTGTTGTGTCTGGGCCAGCAGGTTGAGAGCAGCAGATGCCAGCAGACTCAACAAACTAATTCATAAGGCCAGTAACGTGGGGGTGGAGCTGGACTTTCTGGTGGCAGTGTCAGAGAGGAGGATGCTGTCTAGGATACATGTCATCTTGGACAATGTCTCCCACTCACTCCATGATGTGCTGGACAAACACAAGAATGCGTTCAGTGTAAACTCATTCCCTCCATATGCACTACAGGTCGCAACAGGAAGTCATTCCTGCCTATTTATATTTTTAAATATTTGACATACTAGTGTAAATGTTGTACCATATTGTACATCGTTAAGTTTACGTTTTTACATACTTTGTACCTATACTTCTTATTCTGCTTCTATAATTCCCTATGCTTGACACCAGAACAACTGTAATGAATCACAATTTCCCCCCAGGGATCACAAGTATAAGCTGTGTTAAACATGCCTCAAGTTGGATGCAATTACAATGTGCTGTGACAACTTCTCTGTGTTTTTAAGAGAATTTCAACAGACTCTGGGAACAGTTGACCTAGTAGGTAGAAAATGGTAGCTAAAAATAGCCGACGTTAGCTAGTTACGTTAGCCTGACAGCAGTGCATCCATATTATTAGTGGAAATGTAAATGACAGTTACCCAACCAAAAGGAAGACAGCACTTGTTTCAGTTGTGGACCTAATCACACACAAAATAGTCATAGTCCACAAGACTTTTGTACAATTTAATCGGCTCATCTTGTAACGTTAGTAACATTAGGAGGTCTGGAGAACAAGGTATTTGTAATGAGGATTGTATCCACACAATGAAATTAGCACGTTATGGAAAAAAACATCACTTGTCTTTGTTTCATACAGAACAACAGTTTCAATTTGTGACGATACTTGCTACCTGCAGGTTCATACAGCCCTTTTTATTGTCACTTTCCTCTATTTTTAACCCACACAGTGTATAGATTTATCACTTCCTGCCCTCCTTTTGAATTTTGTTATCATTGTCATATGATTGCAGACAAGCTATAGCAACTGACTTTTATTACTGTCATTATTTAAATGCCTATTTTTATTCTAGAATTTATAATGTGCATCATTTTAGGCCCATGAGACACATAATAAATACTGATGTGGAATATATAATGCATATGAGATCTCTTCAGAAAGATATTTTCTGTTTATCCCCCTCAGCAGTGACCAGACCCTACTACGATTTCCTTCTGCGACAGAAGCACCCCTCTCTCCCCACTGCTTTGCCCAAGCAGCAGGTCTTCATGCTGGCTGAGCCAAAGCGCAAAACCTCCACCTTCTGGCACAACATTGGCAGATTGACACCTTTCAAGAAGTAAAGAAAAAATCAGAAAGGAAAAGGAAGCTGTGGAGAGAAGAAACAAAGGAGAAGGAAGAGAGGAGCTCTCTGTTCATGCCTCAATAGACCCTTTTTAATGATCTATTTTCTTTCTTTCTATTCCTAACATGGCTCTAATGACAAACTGATTTATTGTACAGATGAGGATGGTTATAATGTTAAGGAGATTCTTTTTTGAAAGCACTTTATAGGTTGGTTAACAATCAGACTTTAGAATGGTCTCCTGTAGACACTGAGTGAAACAGGGAGAGTGGACTCTTGCTTAACTTACTACTACTACTACTACTACTACTACTACTACTACTGTACTGCTGTGAGTGACTTTGGGACTCCTGACTGTGTTGCCTCTATGAAGAAGTTGGCTGTCAACAAAATTATGTCATTTATTTCCACTGTTGTATTGTTTTATGATTTCACAGTTGCCAAGCGTTCACAGTGCCGGATCATTTGTTTTTATTTGTTTGTTATGTGTCTGTTTATGAAAAAAAGGGGAAAGACCCGTTTCCACTGAAGAAGTTCCTGGTACTATTTGGGGGACAGGAACTACTACAGGAATGTCCTCTCGCTCGGCCCTCTCAACCGCCGTGTCTCCACTGAGAGAGCGGAGTAGGAGGAAGGATCCTGTATGTGACGTAATCGTTGCGCAACCATTTTGACCGGGGTGACATAGGGGCGTAGGGACACCGTTAGCCGTTAGCTGTGTCTGTAATAACTCCGGTCACGGTCTGTGAAAAAAATATTTTCTCCAGCGGATGTCTTAGTTACAACATGACTGAGCTAACTGGAGTAGTTTCTTGTTGTATCCGACAACAGGAGGCTTTTAACAGATGACATCCTGATGTTAGCTTTGCTGCTGCTGTTAGCTGTCCCTGTCAGCTGATGCTTTCTAGACATCGTGATTTCCCAAAACTGAATAAATACCACACATAGCAACACAAAACTGCTTTGCTAGCTCAATCATGTTGTAACTAAGATAAAAAAAAAATTTTTATTATTATTATTATTATTAGTTATTATTACAGACACCGCTAACAGCTGGTTAGCCCAGCTAATCTACGATAACCATGTTGTTATTTACAAAACGTCACATCCCGCCTTGAGTATATCCAATCAGCACCAAGTAATCCCCAAGCCCCAGCCAGGAGTTTCTCGGGGCTGTTCTGAGTACCTACTCCGAGGCAGGGACTTGTTTAGCCCCTGTAAAAGTTCCCGGAATTCTGTCCTTCGGGGGTGGTTCCTGCGGTGGAGACACGCACCAACGGCCCCCGCCCCGTAAAATTACCCCGAAGTTCCTGCGGTGGAAACAGGCCTTAAGTTTTTATCTGCCAGGGTTTAGTTCTGTATGCCTCTGGTGCATTTATGGTATTTGCCCCCCCACAAAAATACTCAACTCATCACTGATTGGGAACTTTATATTCAAACAAACAGCAGCAACCCACAAACACAACTAGGTGGCAACATACATTCCTTGAATCTGATCCATGACACCTCTTTAAACACTACCATGTTAATGAAAACAATCTGTTCTTTATTGCTTTCTTTTTCTTTCTTTCCTTCTTTCTTTCTTTCTTTCTTTCTTTCTTTTAAGTGCCATTTGAAGTGTGTAATGGATGACTTAAAATGACATGCATGGATGTGATGAAAAGATACTGTGAAGAATATTTTTTATCTGTGAAGAATCCTGTTCAGGAACTGAAGTGTCATCGTGCTACTAGGTTGACGGCATCACACAACACACACACACACACACACACACACACACGCTTTTATCTACCATTCCTTTTGACAGCCAGTGTTCCTGATCTGTGTATCTGGTCTCCAGTATAAATGCAGCCCACTCTGTCAGTGCAGTCAGTGAAATATGCTCCTTTTACCTTTATGTTCAAATGTTTTAGCTTCCGACAATAAGGAATATTAAACATTCCTATGCTGTCAGTTGTGACTGTAAGTCGGGGTGATTATTACAATATTTTCACACTGAAGTATTGCACTGTTCAGCAGACATCACGGGGAAGTGTAGGCACATTGTGATGAAGCTCTGTCATTAGCTTAGCTGAGGGTTTAACTTTCAGGTTGAACTTACACATGATATTCAAGTGAGGTTTAGAGGGCCATACCAGTGATTTTGTAAGTGTAACCTCCTAAACAGTTTTCATTAGCATGCAGTACATTTTTTATATTTTTTTCCTATCAAGATTGTTATACCCTCTATTCTTTTCTGTGCAGTATGAAGATGAAATTGTGTCATCCATCCACTGTACAAATCTGATTTCTTTCTACAATACTAGCTGCGGCTACAGATGACCCCGCCCTAAGGCCAAAGAGGGGGGCCTATGAAAAGGTCTATGGTTGACCCTTAAATGGGATCAAGTACAACAATTAACTTAGACTTACATCATTGACAATGCAAGTTATGTGTATTTACATGCTAAATAAATATAATTTTATAATTGAAACACATTTCAATGTCCCATCTGACCCACTCTGTCCACCTGACAGAGGGGTTCAGATGTGCAATACGCAGAGCTCACAAGTGTTGCCAGATAAAATAGGCAAAGCTGAAGGTGAGAAGTGAGGTCTTGTCTATGCTGTCTTGTCGGAAAGGGGGACAAATACCGCTCAAAAGTTACACTAAATGTTGGCGAGGAAAAAAGGAATATTGTCATTTTTCAAAATAGTATATTTAAATATTTCTGCAATCTGGGGTCCCTAAACAGTCTTGGGATTACATAAAGTGGGTATGACTGGAAAGTTTTCCAGAGATGACAGCCATTTACTCTTTACACTATGTAAGTTCTGCACACAATTTGACTAATATTTAATCAAAGTAGCCCTCTTGTGGTTGAATGCATGAATGAATTTTCTCTAATCATTAACTGGAGGCCATTTTTGGCCAAGGACACACATGTGAGTACCTCTGCTTTTCACAAAAGGAAAATAAGATCTCAACACAGAGATGATACAAACTTCACGGTGGGCATGGATGAGGAGGCCATTTGGAAAATGTTGTCCCCTGCCCATATTTCCTATTGGCTGCCCAGCTTTGAGGTAAATCACTATCTTTTATATACCCTGCATATATACTATTAATTAATTATTCAGCTACAAATGAACATAAGTGCAATTTGTGTTAAATAAAAACAGGAACACTCTGTTTTCATATTTAGATTTTTGAATTAATAACTGATGAGGATGAAAGGGTGTCAGTTTCATAGTTATTTAATACATTTGACCAATGCATTAGTCAATTAACAGTTTTAAATACTGTCTATTAAAGCCTTTTAAAATAATTATGGCTTTAATATGTTATGCATTTAGTTAAAAGGTGTGTGCTGTGTTGTGTGTTTTGTGAAACAGCCAGGTGTTTATTATTTGTGTATATGTATGGTCTGAGGCAGTTCTAAATCTGTTCATAGAGTAGGAACAAATTCAGGTAAGAACCCCTGGTAAAACCCCTGGTTTCTACTAAGATGTTTGTGTGAGCACACACTGTTTGTGAATGAGGCCCATTGTTCTTGTGATTGATAAAATACAATTGCTGATTGGAGGTCTGTGATGGGATGAAAGTCAAGCATGTAAGTCAGATGTGCTAAATGTCCATCTACCGCTCTAATCTTCACACCTGTACTTTTTGCCTTGCTACATAAAGGAAACACTACTACCTGTATTGTTTCTGAACATCAGCATTGGAGGTAACCATGTGGTGCAGAGTTGTCCATATGGACATGATTCCTTTAAATACTGGAAATTATATTCTAACAATACTCTGTTTAAATTGCATCAGCCCCCACAACTAGGGCTGGGTATCAAAGTTCAATACTTTTGGGGTACTGACTGAAAAATGTCCGTAACGCAGGGTATCAGCAACTGTCAAATACAGAAAAGTGGCATTATGGCATTAATTGCATGATAATTTTGCATATTTTTAGACTAGAATTTATCTTAGAAAAGTTCTTGCACAGCTGCTTTTTGTCAAGACAAAATTAAACACTACTGGATATCTCAAGTTTGGCTTATTTTGTAAAAACTCGTTAAATAGAAAAAAAACCCCATCATATTCCTAAATCAATGTTATTGTGAAAGAAAAAGTTTCAACCACTGGAGGGCACTCTGTCACCTGTTATTGCTCACTGGGCCACCATAGATGGCTATTTCTCGTGATTTATCTACTGCAGGTGTCTGCAGAGGTGATGTTCCTTGCTTCTCTCTGTAAGAAAATCAAGGACCTAGCTACAAAGGGAGGTGTTCAGGCCCAGGAGGTCAAACTTCCATATCAGCTTCTGGGAAATGATTGTGTTAAATGCTGTACTGAAAACAATAAACAGCATTCTCACATGGATGTTCTTTTTATCTAGGTGTGACAGAGATGGTGGAGAATAGAGGAAATGGCATCACATGTTTACCTGTAGGGGCAATATGCAAACTGGAGTAAAGTGAGGTCAGAGAGCCAGGATGTGGAATGGCATTTACAGTTGTATATTCTACAAACAGTAAACAGTGGCTGTAGACTGTTGAAGAGTTTCAACACTTCTCAGATTGTACTAGAGGAATGATACACCCCTGTCCACATGAAAAGAGGTTAGTCTGTTCAGCTGGTCAGCTGTAGTCTGACTTTATTGTCTAGGGAACAGACATTAGTGAAGAAAATAGTTCAGCTTGTCTGCAAAGTCTTTAGCCTAGCATGAATACTGACTTGTTTGCCACGTTTATGTTTTTATCTTACAGCGCCTCTGCCATGTCCTTGTTCAGATGGCAGCAGTAGATGGTTCAATAGCTTTGGGCCCTGGCTCTTGTGCAGCTTTTCCATTGTGGAGTCAATATTGTATATGTAACCCAGGTCTCTAATGGGTAAATAAAACGAAATAAGTCAAACTAAGTGTCTTATCCTTATATTCAGAGTATCTATATATACTAACCTGAATATTAGAGTCTAACCCAGTGAATGAAAATCACATGGGTTCAGTAGCTAATCAGAGCCACGCTCAACACTACAAACAGGAAGCAGCTGCGCTGTTTGTCAGATGAATGGGGAGGCTGGAAGTGGAGCGTCTGCAAACGGCTATCCTGTGTGTATTCTGTGTGAAATCCTGCGAGGAACTCTGGTTGCATGAGGGCTCTTGACAGGGGGAAATTGGCCAGGCTTTTTGAAAATGGAGAAACTTGAGCATGAAGAATGCATGATGGCGAGCTAATCCCAACCTAATCTGGACCAAGAAGAACTGCAACCAGCATCTCACCTGCCAAGGCGGTAGGCCAGACTACAGCCAGCCCCATTCATCTCTTTTCCCCCTTCACATGCATTGATTGACTAATTGACTTTTCCCCCATATGGACTGTGTTGATCAAGGGGACGTGTGAGGAGGTCCACTCAAGCAAAGTAATCTTGAGTTGGAGTAGTGGTTGTTTTGGTTGTATTTACATTTTGTTTTCTTCTAGTTTAATAATCTATTGAATTAGTGGAAAGAAAAAAAAAATACTGGTCCTTGAACATTTATCTTGTTGGATCCAAAGAATTT